TGTGTTTCAGTCGGCCTAATCTTCTGACTTGCCGATGATCCATGCAGATTAGTGTCAACAGAGAATGCAAATGAACAATAAAAACAATTAAATGTAATTAATCAAAATTTTTGAAATGAATACACAAATAAACGACACATACATACGCACATATATATGTATGTATTCAAGAAAAAGGTAGGCAAAGAACACAAAAAATTAACTAATCCAAATTAAAACCCAAAAAAGGCCCAACATAGCACCGACATCCAGCTGAGAACTGCGAGGAAATCGCAAAAAAAAATTGCAAAAACACAAACGCACACACACAGAGGGAATTACGAGTTGTAAAACCAAAACAAATCCCAAAATCGGAACTGAAATTTTGCGGCAGTTAATTGCAGCTCGAAACTAAACAGAATGAACGCGCAGGTAACGTCAACAAACTGGCCGTTGAGATGAGCCGAGTTTTGGCAAATTGCTGATGTGTGTGAACTGCTCACAATGGACTCTTTGACTTTTCACAAGCGTTATTGATTGCCTCAAATCTCTCGGGAGGCACGCACGAGCGCTGCTGCCACAGACGCACTGAGAATTCGCACCTTTTCTAAGTACACAGAGCCGTTTGCTGAGTGGCGGCGTGTTAGTGCTGCAGCTGGCCTCCTAGCAATTTTCCAATCAATTTACAAGCGTCTGCAATTAGCTGACCGTCCGTCCATCGAGCGCTTAGAGTCTCACATTCCATTTGTCTGGGCAATTTTTTCCAGTTCATTAGATACTCGCTCCGACAATGTGTTTATATGCTCCCACTTGGACGTCCCGCTGCGTTGTACGAGATCAGGAAAAAGGAAGTGACAGGAAATCGGTATTAGAAATCATATCATGTGCGGGGAGATAGTGTCTGATAGAAGATGAAGGCAGAATGAAAGAATGAATGAAATTTTGCAAAATCATTGACAGAGCACGTTGCTGTAGTTAAAAGTGAGCATGGCTTTGTGTGCGTGTGTAGTTACAAGAGATTGCATGTTTCAAAGGCATTATTTGCAATTTGTTTTGGTTTTCTCTCTTGGAGCATCGCCGCATGCGCAACGTGCTGGACAATTTGTAGGTTTGGCTTAATTGATTTTTGAATGTTCAATTCGAATTTTAATTGCTCGGGGAATCTCGATATTTAATGTGATCCGATTTTAATTGCTGGGACAATAAATATATATGTATGTATCTACTTACATTTTCAGGTGGGTGGTCAGAGAATGCAGCGAATTTCATATTTCTCACGTTCAAGTAGTGAACCTCCACTTGGCCGGCTGAGGGAATATCTCTTTTCGACGGGTGTTCTGAGAGGCAGTGTTGAATAGTCATTTTTTGGGTGCTTTCCCGGCTGAAGCTTTTCGTGTGCTTTCAGCAAGTATAAAGCGAACGGCGGATCTTTGGTGAAAAGATGAAGGTGTCCTTAGAACAGATATAAAGGATTCATTGAAAATTCTATAGAGTAGAACTCATAGAGAAAGAAGTATGTCGGCTCAACTGTTGGCAGTACAAATAAATTCGGTCCGTTTACTCAGTTCAAAAAAGTGATTTCTAGAGATATAAAACTTAAAAATTCATCATTCGAACTATAGTCCGTCGGAAGCGACTTATTTTTCTCATCTCTCTGATAATTTTCCAATACCAAATCTCTGTCCTTGATCCAATCATTGAACCAGTGTTCGATTTACATCGTTTTACATCTCTCGAAAAAGCCATGGTCGGAGGGAGTAAGGTCTGGGGAAAACGTCATCTCTTGAGTGCGGACCGAATTGGTATGTACCCTCAACAATAACAAGATTTTCCCTTAACTTAAGTCGGAAGACTTCCCAGAGCTTTCTGTGATCTTCTTCACTCTCTTTATGAACAAAAAGTTCACTTATGATCTCATCTAGAGGGTTCGAGTAATATATTTTCAAGATATGCTGAGTTCATAACAACAAAGTTGCATAATTCCCTGGACGCAGATCAGTCAGTTCGAAAACCTGTTCTTCAAAAACAATTAACCACCGGAAATCTGCTTAGGTAAAGTCAAAAAGGATTAGGCCGAAGTGAAAAAGTTAATCCTTAGTGAGAAAGATAGGTGAAAGATAGAATGAAAGAAGTACAAAGACGAAATTCAATAATCAAAGTAACAAGGTGTAAAGGGATTTCACCAACACAGTAGGAGCACCAAAGACAATAAGAGAAGTTAAACTGAAAGTGTTTAAATCCCGTAACAGACCAGCCAACTTAAGATTGATTGAATGTCAATCACATGAATGAGGCAGGCATTGGGGAAGCAAGGGCAGGTCTATGAATGAGTGAAGTAATGAATGAATGGATTTTGAGCGATCAATGAATAGTTTGCTGGCGAAAAAGAATGGATGAAATGAATCGTAATGAATGAAGTTGGTTTTGTACAACAAAACAATATACATACATATATAACACAAACTCACATACGTGTACGTACAAACTAATGCAAGAGCGTAATCGATTACTTGTCATTTGAATTGGAATGTGGGTAAAAGTGGTTGGAAACCTTGGTAGACTTTGTGGAGCCAGCATTAATATACAAAGCGCTCTGCTATCCGTGTAGTAACAACTGCTATAACAACAACAACAACAACAACAACAACAACAACAACAATCAATAATAATATTATTATTAACAAACATAACGAATTATGAATAATGCGCTTGACATTTGGCCACGCCTGTCAAACAGCAGCCAAGTCAAAGACGTACAGTGAAAAGGGCTAAATGTCAGCCAACTTCACGCCACCAAAGTAGCAGAGAAGCACGTTTTTTTCTTCGAAAAATATTAACAAATGCCATAGCTAGGCACAATCAAGTGTCTGAAGCATTAATTTACCAAAGGCAATAATTAAAAAAAATTATGTTCTTCATCTACTCGTGTAACACTCGCTACTCGTTGGTTAGTTGTTGGGCGAAAAGCTGTTGGCGAAAAATTTGAAGCTACACAAGAACAGAAAAAGCTACTTAAGTCATTTTTGCTATTATTTGTGTAGTTTTAAGGCAGTAAATATGTATGTACTCATAACAGCCGAGTGCGCACATTTATTGGACATTAATCATTCTGGAATAGTTGAGCGCAACGAAATGCGCGTCCGTCCGGTGGCAGGCGAACAATGGCCGCAAAGGTTGGTTGCTTCTGCGCGGACATATATGTCTTTTTTTTTCTTTGTGTGCAGTCTTTTCAACAATTTTTATTTTTCATTTTTCGTGTTTGCTATATTTGCCTCAAGCCATTATCACGGCATAAATACCAACTTGGTAGACCCGGTGTCTTTTCTTTGCTTCTTTACTGTCTTCTAATGTTTTTTTCATTATTCTCGACTACTGTTTGGAGCGGGCGGTGAAGAATTCAAATACGCATGCCATTAGCATGTTTGTGGTAATTGTCTGCTATTGGCGATGAGCATGTACCGAGTGGAGTTAATGACTAATGCGTGGGTGAGTAAATAAACAAGTGTATGAAACGTGTTGAAATATCATATGATCTTGCTTTAAAGAGCGCTGACTGTACTGCACCATAAAGACGCGTTAAGTATATCAATTGTCCATAAAATTTTAGGTTAGTTTTTGTTTTTTAGCTGTGAGTTCCAAGCGAATTAGAAACTACAGTTTTAAACTGCCGCCGAAGTATTGTTGGATATCTTTCAATGTCGGTCTGACGAGGGTTCGGACCATTGACCCTCCACATAAAAGCATAGCTGCAAGGCTTCTACAGAAATAGTAATAACTTTGCTAATCAAATCCTTTCTGCGAATTTAATATTTAACTAAGCCAAGTCTCTCAACAAACCCAAGCATCTCGAGCTAGAATTCGTTTCTTTGTACATAAGGAAAAGTACATCTTCACTCACAATCAATAAAGCTTTATATTATGGACCTAAATAGAATTCCTGAGGCTATTCCCAAGAAATGGCTTTTCTCACCTGGATATGGTATACATTTTAGTTGCTGTAGCTGCTGTGCAACCCAGCTTAGGAGCCGGTGAAACTAGTCTAAATCATCTGAGCATCGTATTTTGGGACGGCTAACGATTTGAAGATCACAGCTGGTGAGCTGTAGATGTCTAGCAGTAAAGAAGTGGGCGAGATAACAGTTTACTTTCAAACCGAAACTATCAGTATCCCGGCCAGATGCCATTTTCGGGAAATCAGCGGTGTCGAAAATCCTAGATTATCGGAAGTTAGAAATAGGATAATGTAAAGAATTGGTCAATTTCTCATCGCAGGTGCCCTTTACCTTCAGAAAAATTTCTTTTTCGAAGTGCGACATAACCTCACTTTTGAATTCCGTTATTTCTTTGGCCATTAAGTATGCAATTTTTTCATTTTTATATGCATTTATTTTATTTATGTTTATTTACTCTTGTTTGCATTTAATACATAATTTTTATTTATTTATTTTTAAGTCGATTAAATTCTAATTACTTCAAATAGTTACATATACGCATAAATTTAATAAAGTTTTATTTTACATAAAGTTCATATAATTACTAATCAGCATAGCTATAAATAAAAGAATAGGAATATATACATACAGACATACGAAGCACAAAAAATTTCAAAATAAGACAATGAAGAAGAAGACTGATTACAGAAAATATTTTAAGAAAAAAGTATTCAGCGGAGCTAATTCACTTCCAAGACGCCGGTAGTACAGCTCTTTCCACAGCGAAAGTGCTTTAATTTTATGTTTGATTAATTTTTGGAAGTTAAAGGCAATTTTGGAACTTGAAAAACGGTCTTGGAAATACCTCAATATTGATTTAAAATAATAAAGGGTGGCATTTTTGGCCTCTCCGTTCATACATACAAGTGTTTATGTACTTCTTAGATACTTATCGGCATTGTTATAATAATAATTTTTATTTAAATTCATTATTTTTATATTTAATTCTTAAATTAATAAAATTTAAATTCTTACGATTTTCAATGCATATCTATTTAGCTATACAAATATGTAATTTACAATTTTTAAAGTCATTCAAAAAATATGCAGAAATATTTACAAGCGCGAAGAAATCTTTCGTTTATCCTGTTTTTTTACAGTTACAATACATTGCTAAGTTAAAGTAAATACAAAAATTATTTTGAAAATTGCAAAAGTTTGGGACTAACCTAGTACACCTTCACAAGGCTACATTAAAACTCATCATTTTTCCTAAAACATAATTATGTATCACCAAGAGGCGCGGTTAAGTAAATGAAATATTAACTATTAATTTATATTGTATTTTAAGGTTATATTTTTTTACTATTTTCAGATTTCAGCGGCTCCTAACGGTAATTATCACTCATACGACAACGTTTGCTCTGCGCCGGGTTTTCGCCCATATCCAAACTCTCGTTGTCACTATCCATTGTCTCGCTGCAGTCGCCGTCCGGTTCGCCGCCGCCCATAATGTCCTGTTTCCGCTTGGCGGTGGCCATTTCAGCGGCATGTTTCTTGCGCCATTTGGTGCGCCGATTTTGGAACCAAACCTGCAAAGGCAACAAAAAGGTAAGAAATTGGAGAAATTAGTAAAAGTTAGATGAGAGAGTAAGCAGAAGAGTGACGCAAGATGTGTGGTAGGTGAACTTTAATTTTCACTTATTTAATTACTACACACTAAAGTACGTACATACATATGTACATGTGTGGTGGTGAGGGGTCAGCACGAAAACAATGCTGCTCCAATAATGGAATGGCAATGGAATATATTTAAACTTTATAAAACTCTTTGCTATTAATTAAAAGTGGGCAAGTGGGCGTAAGTTGAAAATGAAATGGCATTTATTGCGTGTCTAAATATCGTCCACCCAATGCTCCGGCAGTCAGTCTCAACTTTAATACCCGAGAAACTACATGACAAACCCGATGATGACATTGGGCCACGTTTCGTGCCAAGTGAGTGTGAGTTCCTCGCAACGACGACGGCAATGATGGTAACATGTGTAAAGTCATTAAGTCGCTGTTGGCATTAAGGCGGTCACAGACCCATAAGTATACGCAAAATAATGTCTTCGGTATGCACACACACAGCAGAGAAAGATTTTTTGCTTTCGTGATGTGCTCGCCTGCAACACAAGTGGCACAGTTGGCCTTGCGGCAAGCGGCAGGCAGCAGTCACCACCCCATAAGCAGCATCATCAACGCCGGTTAACCCTCAATTAAGAGAAAATAAAGCACCAACAGGCCGGCCTGTGTGGCAAAAAGTGGGTGCTGTTTCAGTACAAAGTTCATAGAGCAGCGAGGAGTGGGTGGAGCATATATGTAAGTGTATGTATGAAAGTAGGTTGACGGAGGCTTAGCACAAAACCATGACTAACAACCTTCGTTGCGCTGCCGTCGGAAATGAAAGCAGTAGAAGCGTGTAGCGTGCGACATATGTTCCCAGCTTTACGTACACAGCCATGAGCAGTCGTAACGAGTAACCGAAATTCCGCTTCGCATCCGAATATCAAGACTCATTTATTGTCTCTTGCAAAGCAGTTCGAAAAACGTTTTTGTATGGCCGCCACAATGAGCTCGAAAAACAGTAACTCAGGCATGAGCATGCGAGTCCATACGAAGCACATTTTCGAGCTCATTGAGCTGCTTCGAATGACAGCGTTGACGACATAATTTGCTAAGCTAAGGACGGGTGAACAATGGTTCGCACTATCCAGGTTTTTTTTCTCTTTGTTGGGAGGAAGCTCGTTTCGCTATTCATTTGCATGGTGTAAGTTCTTGTGTGGCTGGTTGGTTGCTGGGCTGGCTTCAATTTTGTGAGTCGTTTTGGCTCTACTTGCTTTTGGCGGTCATTAACACACTTTTGCGCCAGACAATTCACTGTCCATTGTGTCATTAGGCAGAGTAGCAACGGCTGTGGGCGATGCTCATTCCTTTGCATGCCACCGAGTCCTCTTACCTCGTTTATTGGCTACTGTTTGTTTGGCTTGCTGCCCTCAGTGCTTGGTGGGCACGAGTTTATGGCGACCAGCTGTTGCCTGTTGTGATGTGGTTAGAATGCAACGGTTAATTACATTTCCAAGTTGGTTTTTTATTCAGTTTTCGCTGATTTTTGTGGTCAAAATATATTTTTAAAGGAAGGTACTTTGAACTGTGAAATTATTTTTTGTGATATTTATTGAAACGAGAAATTTCACTTTCGCTACTCGGAAATGCTTTTCAGTTCTTCTCTCTGCAAGAATTATATGGAAATTTTATGAAAGTCGGTTATAGTGAGTGGGCACTTGAAAACTAAAAGCGAACTCTAGAAGCCCCTCATTATTTCCGTCCTATTATATGATGGAGGAGCGGTGACGGTCGACATAAGAAGATCTTGTCTTTCCGAAAGATTTACAGTCCGTTGCACATTGGAAACGGCGAAAACTGAAGTCGATGGAACGACTGTAGGAGTTATAGGCTGTAGCCTCTGACAGTTTCCATGCAGCATCCGCTGGAAGAGAGAGGGATTCGAATCCCTTGGAAGGACCAGTTGGGGAGCTATATAACTAGGCTGTAGTCGCCTAAGCGGTGCATGCACCAATGAAGAAGAAGAAAAACCAGGTGTAAAGTCAAGAGACTCTGCCGGTTAGGGGTTCAAGAATTGGCCCGTGGTAAGACATGCCCCTCATAAGAGGCGACTATAACCCAATAGTTCCAGCGACAATCGGGTCTTTATACCGGAACAACCCGGATTTTTATCCGGCCAAGGACTGTCACTTCCACAATATTCCTCGAAAACCAATTCGGGAAATATTTTGCGGTTACAACAACAATGAAAGACTCCGTTGAGTTACTCAAAAATCTCTCCCGAGCATGAAATCCTTCGGAGCATTTCTTTATTCTTAGATTTTTCAAAAAAGTTGCTGGCCTAGACCGCAGCACAACAACAAACTTATTAAATAGATGAAAAAGCTATCATTTACTACGAACGAAGCTTGCAACATCTTCTGTGGAATAAATATGGAAAAATACATATATCAGCGCGTGCGTGTGTGTTTCCTCAGAGAATTTTCGACCACAGCTGTTTCTACAAAATAATGACCATGAAAAGCATCCTTAATGATGCCATCTAATGGTGTGTTGGCTGCAAAGACAGTACGTTGTTGTGGTGGTTGCTACTGTGATTTGCTATAACCTCGCTACAGCTGTTGCATCAGACCTTTCCAGGCCAAGCGTCTGGCCAACTTGGTCCGTTGGTGGGTGGCGGAAATGCACGAGTATGGATAAATGTAAAAATCGGAAAACAGCATTGTGTGGCTTTTTATTTATTGGATGTCTACATGTGCCGCCGCGTAGTCTCAGCCAAAGCCAGCTGGCCTTGATCATCTCCACTTCATTTTCTTGTATTTTTTTCGCCATAAAGAAAAATTAATTACATTTTTATTTGCACATAAAGCCACATATAATAATTACACGCGTACAAATGTGCAAATGAAGTTGTAAATTATGTAATGAATGTGTTGCAATGGCTAATTACAGACGCACAGATTGCTTTGCACCTAAGTCTGGAAAGAGTAGTTTTGCTAATAGAATATTTGGGAAGTAAGAATGTCTCTATGAAGATACTATGTTTGTAATTATAACGTTAGGAGACTTTTTTCTCAGAGAGGGGAAGGCGATCTTATTATATATGCATTCCGGAAGATTACTAAAAAATGCTCCAGCTCCGTTCTAACAAACTTAAGGAGAGCGGCCGCTAACTGAAAATTAGGACTTTTTTTTTTTGTACTATGAAATAAACTGTAAAGTCCGTTTCATTTACATAGTTGGCAACGCGCGTGCTGTCGGTTGTAGGCTGTAGTTCGGTTATCGCTATTATGATTTTTGTTGATAAAAAAAGGGTCGAGTAAAAGTAAAAAGAATAAGAATTAAGAATTAAGCTGTGTTTAACTTTTTTCAGAGTCGTGATCGCCTCCATCAGCACCTGGTTCTCAGGAGCTCAAAATAAGTAACACTCTGCTTCTACCCGATAAATTCGTTTTAAGAGTCTGTTGAAGTCTTATAGAAGAGCTATGCCTTCAAGCTCATGCGTTGCCATTGCCAACTAAGAAGAAAATAAGGACTGTATAAAATAGAGGCAGCATAATAACATTTTAAAAAAGATTTCAGGAAAATCGGACTCTAAAATACCACAATATGAAGTTACATATGTACATACATCTATTTTTTTCCTCATATAAAATACATACATATCTACACATGCACATATATACTACATCTAAGTATGTGCATTTGGCCACTTTAATGCATTTCTAACAAAACGGACCGCACAATTGGCTCTTTTTTGGGTCTCTAAGTCATTTTATGACAGCAACATGTCAAAGTCAATCAAACATTGTCGCCGACTGCTGCAATCAATTCGTTGCGCTGCCATTTCAAGCGAATCAAAAGTAACGAATTTCGATAGATTTATGGCCAATGAATACAAAAGCAACGAAAGAGAAGTTGAAAAGGACCACATGGACGGCTAGCAGGCACTGAGTGCATGGTGGATACCTGGAATAAATGGAATGGCTAACAAGCAAAAAGAGTAGGTAAAAAGTAGTAAGAAGAAAAAGAATGAATTATTCAAATTTTTATTGCTTTGCGGTGAACGCAACGCAGCGGTGGTGGTGTGAGAAATAAAGTCAAAATATTGTTTGTTGGTTATCTTGTTAAGCATTCGTTCTGTTTTCTTTTTTATTTCTTATTTTTTTTTTGCATTTAAAACGAGTTGAGCGCATGCGTCGTAAATATGGCTAAGCCAAGGGTGGCATGTGTTTTGAGGAATCAGTCAACATAAACGAAATGGCTGACGAAATGTCGTCGTCAGGTGGTAGAAGGAGTTCCTGTTTTGGGTTGGGCAGAGCTGCCAACAGCGATGGTGTTATTTTATTTTTTACCTTGCGGTTGTATGTGGTAGTGCTATTTGTTATTTTACATTGACGTATGAAGATAAAAAGACACATGCTCCATCGGGTGCTGATATGTAAATTCGCTTGAAAGCGACACGCCAACCTTTATTTATATATGTATGATGTGCGGCGATGGTACTAAATGAAATTCGTAAAATTATTTATTTTTATGTATACCCCCCTATGTGGTGCGAATATACACAGACACAATGGCGAATACGCTCACACTTAGTAAATGGTATGGTCGCCGGGCAAATTTTATGTGGAAATCATGAAATTTATGATGCTCAACCAATAGAAGTTCAAATTGTATACTGTACCAACCTAAAGTTGTTCAGAAATATAATATTATATATTACGGAGGGCACAATAGGAGCCGAAGTTGTATTTAAAAAAAAAATTTTTAAAGAACTTTTAGTGTCAGAACGGTATTTTTTTTACTTAGGTTGAGAAGTAAATTCAGAGCGAACTTTTTAAATAGAATACCTCTATAATCCTTCAGATTGGATCACTAGAACTAATTAATATTCGTATCTTTTGCGCACAAAACACTGCCAGCGGGTTTATTCCCGGCTGAATATAATTATTTTTGAGAATTTTATAATGAAAAAACCGTT